TGATCCTTGGGCCTCTTCTCTACTTGTTCTCACATGATCTCATTCATTGCCACGACTTCAAAAAAATCAACAATATGATGGCTTCCAAATTTACACTTTCACCCCAGACTTATGTCTGAATTCAAGATCAGTATATCCGGGGCGCCTGGTGGCTCAGTCGTTAGGTGTCTGCCTTCGGCTTGGGTCATGATCCCAGGGTCCTGGGATCGAGACCCCCAACGGGCTCCCTGCTTGGCGGGAAGCCTGCTTCTCCCTCTCCCACTCCTCCTGCTTGTGTTCCTTCTCTCGCTGTGTCTCTCTCTGTCAAATACATAAATAAAATCTTTTTAAAAAAAGATCAGTATATCCAGTGGGCTACTTAATATATTCTCCCCACAGGCACTCCAATTCAACATGTTCAAAGCCAGACTCAAAATCTTTCCCTTCAAACTGTTCCATTTAAGGCAGTACATTCAAAATAATTATATAGATATTTATCTCTTCATTGTAGTAGAAACATATTCACCATGGATTAAGTAATAAGAAAAAAAAAGATTATAAAACATTATATATCGGGGTGCCTGTGTAGCACAGCCAGTTAAGTGTCCGACTCTTGGTTTTGGCTCAGGTCGTGATCTCAGGGCCATGGGATCAAGCCCTGCATAGGGCTCAGCTCAGCACTAGTCAGCTTGCAATTCTCTCCCTCTCCTTCTCCTCTGCCCCACCCACTTGAGTTCACTCTCTCTCTCTCTAAAATAAAGCTTAAAAAAAATACAGTATGTATCATTTGTTCCCATTACTGCAAAACAAACAAAAATATCCACCTCTCTATCTACCTACTTACCTACTATCTATCTATCTATGGAGAGAGAAATATAAATGCCTAAAAAAAGACCTGTTAGGATATACAACAAAATGTTAAACAATAATCTCTGGATGGTATGATTACAGGTGATTTTTAATTTCTGTCTTCTTCAGCTTCTTCTTGTGTGTATGTATGTGAGTGTTTATTTCCCATATTCTTTAAAATGAATGCTTTTCACTTTTATAATCAGATATTCATAGTTTTGTTTTGTTTTTTTTTAATCTCTTAATAGGATGCCATATGAAGTCAGGCTATCAGTTAGAAAACTTCCTTGTTTAAATGATTTAATTTAAGTCTACTCAAAACTTTCAGATCTAACTTACAGGTTATAGGAAGGAGATAGGAGAACATGTTCTGCAACACCACTAGGAAATAATCAGACAAATCAACAAGGGAGGACATTCTATAAGACAAATGGTCTGACCTAATCAAAAAGTCACTGTTATAGGAAAAAACAAGTGGAACTAGATTAAAGGTGACATAATAGTGAAATACAAAGTGTGAAACTTCACTGGGTTTGGGTTATAAACAACACCCACAAAAGACACTTTGGGGATAATTACGGAAATGGATAGAGTATGAGATGATATGGGAGCATTACTATTAATTTTCTTGAGTGAGATCATGGTATTGTGGTTCTTTAACAGAATGTAGAGAAAGTCCTTATTTCTAAAAATGCATACTGAGGTATTTAAAGGTGGGTATCATGATGCCCAATAGAGAAAGCAAAATGTCAACAACAGTTGAATCTAAATGGTGGGTGTTCATCACTAGTGTTCTTGGGGAAAACATTCTTTTAAGACTATAAGCTTCCGGGGCGCCTGGGTGGCTCAGTCG